CGCCCGGAGGCGGCTCGGGCCGGGGGAACCTCCGCGGCTCTGGCTGGGGGCCGGGCCGCGCTGTGGGACGGGGAGCTGCTCTAGGGTGCTGCTCTAGGGTGCTGCCGACGGAGGTCACCGGCCAGGGGAGGGCTGGGTGCCTCCTGACAGCTGCCTCCTACCCTCCTCCCCCTCCTCCCTGCCCTGCCGCGCCTCGTCTCCTCACTTCCCTGGGGCTGGGGAACATGTAAGCGAGACCGGCGGCTGAGGGGTTCCCAAACAGCCGCCGTCCTCCCGGGGGTCGCCGCTGACCTCTGGATTTTTGTCTGTGTTCCCTCACGGCAGGGCTCGCTTGTCCCTCCCCGAAGTGAGTCTCCTGGCGCGGGAGGAGCGCGGGGCGGACGGCCGCAGCCATGCCGGGCGGTAAGGAGACGCGGCTGCTGCACCTCAGCGAGATGGAGAAGCTGGACAAGACCCTCTTCAGGTTGGAGCAAGGTAGGTCGAGGACGGCGGACAGCGGCCTCCTCAACCTTCTCTTCCTCCTCCTTCCCCTCGGCGGGGCGTCCCCTGGGCCGAGTGAGAGGAAATGGCCGGGAGCTCGCCACCTTCTTTGGGCAGCAGTGGAAGGGGAGTTCAGCCTGCAGTGGTGTTCGGCTTTGGTTTTTTGTTTTGCGTTTGTTTTGGGTTTTTTTTCCCCTTGTTTTAATATGAAACAATTTCGGACGTGCTTGCTTCTGCTGCAGAGCCTCCAGTCGTGTTTCAATTTGATTCATAAAACTTCAGAAATGAAGAGCAGATGGGCTAGGAGCTGTCAGTCTTCATGGGAATGAAGTGCGAAGCGTTTTTTAGACAGGCCCTGCAGGACAGGACCTCTGCTTGTATAACTTGTACCTCAGTGACCTGAAAAAGTCCTCATAAGTCAAGCTTTCCAGTAGTTATCTGCAATGTGTTATGTAGCACCCCATCTTTGATCTTATTATTTTGAAATATATCAGTAATACTGACATTTTTTTAAAGTCTGACATAACTCTTTCAGAATATGGGACCTTTAGCTTCTCCTAAATCTTATCTTGCCTGTCAAGATTCTTACAGCTGTGCTATGTTAGTATTTTGGCTGCATACTTCTAAGAACTTGACATTCTTTCTCTCTAAAAGTGTTCTTAAGTCTATTTGTAAAAAAACAAACAAACAAACAAAAACAACAAACCAAAAAAACAACACAAAAACCCCTAAATCAAATAAAAAAGCCACCCCACCAATTGGTCCTCTATTATGCTGGTCAGCAAATTCAGACTATAAAACTAAACATTCTAATGATGCAACAATTTTTATTACTCATGAAATTTTGTGGGATTTATTTCATAGGAACCTAATATCGAAGTGGTTTAGTAGAGGAGCGAGATCTTGGTTCTTGAGAATAAGAATTCTCTTCAGCTATATTGATTTCAAAATTTTCTGACAGTCTAATGTAAGAAAATGTCAGTGTTGAAGAAGTGGAGAGTTGACCCTAACCTTCATTTTTACCTAATCCTCCTAGTTGTGTAATTTTATTCAAAAAAGTCGCACAGAAGTGCACAGCTCTCAAGCATTCAAAATGCCTCTGCTGATGGCAGTATCTGAGAGGGCATAGCTAATTTTGAGCACAGCATTCCTGATGTCAGTATAAGTGTTACAGGAAATAAGATATCAATGGCATATATCCCTCTGTTCTAATTTTAGTAATCTCTGTAATAAAATGTGAGAATAGTACTGGGAAGAGTGTTTAACCTTATGAAAGTGATTTTTTTTATATAAGACTTTTTTTTTTCTTCAGTCAAATTCACTTTACCTGACAGATATTCAGATCCTAAACCCATTGCTTTACATGGCGGTATTTATGTTAAGAGAAACTGCAAGCTTGATGAGACTTTATATATAAATGTATTCAGACATTGAATTCTAATGTTAGATCCCTGTGATTCTACTTATTAAGCAAGTGGCTTCTTTTCAACTTCACATACTGGAACTCGACATTGTTCAGCAGTTTTTTACACTTTCTAATTCATTATCTGTGTATTAATAACTTTCTCGTTTTACAAATACTCAGGTTTCTTTTACTCCTTTTTGTAGACTGCTAGGGCTAGTAGGTGTTTTACTACAGTTAACTACATGACTGGAATGTAATTTAGTAAAAGTTGTGCAAGCATTTATACCTGTTTCAGTCACTTGAAAGGACCCTGTAATTAGCCATGCACATGATGGTGACCCTCGAACCTGCAAGTGGAAACCTATTCTTAAACCTGTGGACTAAATTTAATTTCTCATATCCAGCTGAACAGACTATGGTTTTAGGTCCTAATATTTTACCTTAATTTTGTTCTCATTATCACTGGTATCCTAAGCCTAAATAGTGGTCTTTCTATGTGTGTGCGACCCACAGCATGTATCCAAAACTCCCTTGGGTTTGTTGAGCTCTCTGAAAATTTAACAATTTCTACATTGTAGATTACACACAAGTGTATATATATCATTTTACAGGTAAAAACATGAGGGATTTAGTGTTGTTTAGTTCCCTCAATGGAGAACGAAAGAATCTGTGAAATTTTCTCTTTTGAAACGTGTTCCTGATTTTTTTTTTTCAGATATTTTCATGGGGCAGCGTAATATCTAGACTTGATAAATTTAAATACCATGTAATCCAAAATCTGCATCAAATTGTATGTAGTCTGAGGGTCATGATTTGCTGTATTTTGTTTTTAAGTCTTTTTACATAGTAAAGAGGAACAAATTGGAAAAGAGATTAATAGTGCCATATAAGTAAAGGAAAAGGATTATATGCAAAGTGTGCCAGCAGCAACATTAGGAAAATAGGGAGAGATGATGCTGTAGAAATCTGCCAAGAATTTCGATAATGTTATATATGTTTGCGCACTTTCTTCTTAGCATAATATTTAATTATGATTTGTAATTACAGAATAGAAATATCTAGTTCTCCTGATTAAGTGATTTTTATCTTTTTCTCTTGAGGTTTTGAACTACAGTTCCGATTGGGTCCGACTCTTCAAGGCAAACCTGTTACCGTGTACACAAATTACCCAGCTTCTGGAGAAGTATTTGATCGCCACAAGTTTAGGACGCTATCGTGGCATAATCCCACAGGAAAAGAAGATGACTCTGACAAGTATTGCAAGCTGGATCTGCAAATTTCTGGCTCATATCAGTACTATTTCAGTCTTGGGTAAGTGAAATTCTATACAGCCAAATACAGACTCCTCCCTTGATCTACATTTTAACCTGAAGAAGTCACTGTTAAGAATAAAAACATGTTTTCCATGCATTTTTGAAATTGCAACCATGGGGCCTACTTGAATCTGCTAATGCAAGACAGTAGCTGTGGTGGTGGTTCAATACTTTCTGATGCAAAGATACTCTGGATAATATACAGAACAAAGTTGATCAACTTTCTGTGAATATTGGAAAGGCAAGCCATTTTTACAAGTTTAAGTCATCAGCATTCTGAGTATCTGAATGGTTAATCTGTAGTTTCTTCATTGACTTTGAAGGTTGTTTTCCATCTTTCTAGCACAGAGGTTCTTGTGTTCTTTCCTTCACATTCTTCCTCCTTTGTTTAAACCGGACAAGTGCAGAAGACAATGTCAGTATCTGTAATGATTGTAGTCTTTTGAGTTTCTGGAAGATGGGTGGTTAAATTCCCTCAGGGTTAAAAGGACTTTGAGCTCAGGTGGTGCTCAAATGAAGGTCTTTGTATAAAAGATGGGCAGTCCTGCTTTCTTTGTTCTGTCCATATCCTAAAATGAGGAACCAGTACTCTGTCTCAAAAAATAACAAAGGTATGTCACTTTTGCAGAGAGTTTAAAGCTCTATATTCCAACTGTGTTCTTGTGTGTCCAGTAGAGAGATGATGCCTAAGAGAGGAACATCTCTTCAGTGTTTCCTGTTTTCTTCAGATGTCCTGCAGTCCTGTTTCCTCCAACCACTGTACTGGGCTACTGTGGTTTTGAAATAACTACTTGTTGGATTCTCTTTATGAAACTGACTGTTACAATAGGTGTTTACTATACCAATGAAAATTAATTTTTCCTAGAAATGAAAAAAGTGGTGGAGGTTACATAGTTGTGGATCCTATTTTGCATGTTGGAGCCGATAATCACGTGTTACCTTTGGATTGTGTTACACTCCAGACGTTCCTCGCTAAGTGTCTGGGACCATTTCATGAATGGGAAGATAGGCTTAAAGTTGCAAAAGAAACAGGTAATGTCAATGCACATATTAAAAGATATATGTTTGTGTCTTATGATCAAAAACCAGAGTTATGCTGAAACTCTTCAGTGTAAACAGCTCATTTGTTTTTTAGTTTGTATATTAAATATTTTTTACTAGATTCAATTTAGTTAACAGGTTAAGTCAGTGAAATAATTAAAGTATTTGCAGAGGTATAGAACTTTAGGGATTTTCTAGAATGGGAAACCACTTTTGTTTTATTGTTTTAATTTCAGATAGACTTGGAAGTTTGTAGAACAGATAGGGTGATTTTTAAACCTTTTGTTACACAGAATTTCAAGGGGAAGTCAGGTTCATTTACACTGATTATTCCAAACACTAGCTTTCAGTACTTGTTATAACTCTAACATGATTTTTTTCAATTAACTTTGACTGAAATTTGTTTTTCTTATTAAATAAATCGCTTCTTATTACATAGGTTACAACATGATTCATTTTACACCACTGCAGAAGCTTGGACTGTCTAGATCATGTTATTCACTGGCTGATCAGTTAGAAGTAAATCCTGACTTTTCAAGCCATAATCAAAGCTGCACTTGGAGCCATATAGGAGCTCTTGTGGAAAAATTGAAAAATGAGTGGAATATGCTTTGCATCACAGATGTAGTCTACAATCATACTGGTATGATTTGTGTGTGTGTGTTAATAACCATGTTGGTTCTATAATTATATTTCACATTCTTC